TATCTGTGTGGGGTGGGGTGGGGTGGGGTGGGGCTGGGGCTGCACAGGGCTCTTCCTGCCCCATCCTACGCAGATCCAGGGGCACACGCCCCCGTCCTCTCAGACCAACAGCAGGAGCGGTGGTGGGATGCACCGGACAAGTAGGCAAGCACCAGATGAGTCACTTGATGAGCAGTGTGTGGCAGCAGGTCCCACCCTCCCTGTGCCCCTAAGACGACCCGTCGCACCATCCCGTGTCCCCCACTCCTCCCTCACCACGGGGGCCTTGATCTATCGCCCACATGCCCCTTCCCTCCCTGCCCTGCCCACCCTTCCAACCTAACAGACTTAACAGCTGCACACAGCTCCAAGCTGCCAGGGTGGTATCAGAAATCGGATTGGTATTCGCTGGTATGCCTCCTTAAAAATCTACTATGGGTATCGGCCCCAAAAATCTCTTATCAGTGCACCCCTAAGTCGTATATGGGCTAAACTTCAGAAATCTGAAAGAATTTTAGTAATTGGGAGTTCTGAGCGTTCAGTATCTCTAAAGATCAAATTATTTATTTAGATGTGGATACTCTAACCTCAGGTCCTCATGTTTCACTTAACATGAGCTTGCTTACAATGCTGTTAAAAAGCATTTTAGGTTTTACATTTCCCAAACTTGTTTAAATCGTGACCTTCACATCTCATTCATGGAGTTACTTAACATATAGTAAAGGTATTTGAAATTACTATATTTTAGAATTAGCATTAGTGAAAAGAGACCGTGTTATAAAATTATCTTAATTGATAATTCAGTTTGAAGGATGTTCTGTATTGTCTTTGAAGTGCTGCCAGATCGCTCATTGCTGCAGTCCAGTTCTCCATCTTAGATAAAAGATATTTCCATCTATTTTTTGCTAAGCAGTTTGATTTTTTCTTTAATTTCAACCCAATATATCCTCATTAGGTAAGATAGTTTCACTTGGTAGAGCTCTGTTTTGAATGTATACTAATAAGAACTTCCAAAAGACATTAGTTTTGTGCTTTTTGAATGTTTTTAAACAAAGCTTCAAATGTATTGGTGATCCTGTAAAAATATACTGCAGTAGCAGCATTGTCATTTTCTTCGGAAATTAGACATACCTACGTGATTTTTATATGAATGAATTGCATCTTTTTTTTCTTTTTTTGCAGGGAGGCTTAGTGGGGCTTGTAGATTATCCTGATGACGACGAGGAAGATGACGAAGATGAAGATAAGGAAGAAACTTTACCTTTGTCAAAGAAAGCAAAACTTGAGTCGTCATAATGGCAACTGCCTACGATCAATACCAGTTGGGGGGAGAGTAATTTTTCCAAAACCCACAAAAAGTAGCAATCTTCTGTGAATTACTGTGTGAGACACAGATCAACCTATACAAATGGATTTCTGCCAATCAAGTGCCAATTCAAAGGAGCAGAAGAAGGGGAAATTCTACATTTAGGGGAAAGACCTTTGAGCTCTCCAGCTTGGACCACACATTGCCCTTTTCTCAGGGAAGGAAATGGAAAAAAAAAAAAAGCCAACAGGGCAGGAGTTTTGTTAGTGGAACTCTGGATTGGCTGGTCAGTTGCTACAATCAGAATATGCTTTCTTGGACCATGTATGAGACTTTTGAAGAAAAGGCTGTTTTGCCATAATTCTTCACTAGTTAAGAATGCCAGCAGTTTCTTTGTATAAAGAGACCTGCCTTTGAAATCGTACATTCTGAACGTTTTAGTCAAGCTACAACAGGTTTTAAAAACCTCTGATGGGAGGGCCGAATATAAAGTTTCCTCTTTTTTTTTTCTTCTTTTTTTAATCTGTTCCCTTTTGCCCTTTAAACTGCAGAATTTTTTGGAGGTGGGGGATTTGTCTGTCCCTTCTTGATTAAAGATTGAGTGGAATTCTAGATGTGGTCACTTTTGTGTCATAATTTTTATTTTATTTTTATTTTTTTATTTTATTTTTTTGCCCCCTGAGTGTATGCTTAGTTGTTGAGTATATATTTGGGACCATTAAAAAAATTTTGATGTAATATAATCTCACTGTTGTGCTGGTACCTGTTTCACCCTGTGTAATTTTGTTCTGCATCACAATTCTTAATATGTTTAGGATTTTATGGAAGATGGTATAGTTTTTATTGAAAAAATGAATCTTGCCACAGTGCATAAAAAGCAATACTATTTTGTGACTAAATATTTTATATTAAACTTTACATCAGCAACCGTCTTGAGAAACTATTCAGGGAAATAGGGTGGAATAGAAAAAGTGAAGAAACCTTATAAATATGAAATTAGTATTCCAAAGAGACTTCAAAATTTCATAACTGAAAACAATGATAGTAAACTAACAAATCAAAATAGAGGATGGATGATTTAGGAATAATACTATATTGACACATTTGACTTCTAAAAATAAAAAAAAAAAAGTGAAGAAAAACCTGCTTTTATTGGTATTTTTTAAAACCTCTTATTCCCTTTGGAATACCAGTTTTAGTGATATAGATGATGATTCCAGAATTACTTACCAAAATACCATCTATTGAAATCTATTCTGATATCTAGTTGAAAAACAGTAATTAAACTTTGATTGTAACTCAGTGACCATACTCTTCCCCTGTTTTCCAAATCAGAATAATATTAATTCTTAGTAAACTGAAATACTATGTATTACTTCCTTAGTTGCTTTTACAAGTGAGGAGGGATGCATCTAAAATAAGCAGTAAAATTGTACAAATATTAAGTTAGAAGTTTGTCTGGAAAGGAGTGAAACAAAAGACGTTTTATTTGCATAACCAAAAATTGATTCCCTGTCCTCATTCATGTTCGCATACTTTTATCCTGCTGTAAATTAAGATCAGCAGGGATCCAGAGCTTGACCCCACACATAAAAGGAGCTTAGCTTTTTGCCTGAAAAGTGATGCACTGCATGCTAGAATAAGGAGTTAACTTTTGTTCTCTAGTTTTCTCTTTCCAAAAGAAAGAGGCTTTTGGATGTTGTGCCAGGTGTCGGTGTTGGTAAGCTTCAGCTTTCATTAATACATGCAATTCCACTTTTAAATTGCAAGAAAGACCACAGCATAAAAAAATGTGAACTGGTTACTCTAGCATAAAATGTGAGTTGTTTTCACTTCGCCTTATTCACCTTTTCCTCCAAAATTTACTTCTGAAATTAATTCTTGAGGTCCAAGAATATTTTTAACTATAAATTGTATTCAGAGTGTGAGGTATTTGTGAAGGGATACTTTTCAATAAGGGAGGTTGGGTGGACAGAAGAGAATGAAGCCATCTGTTATTAACAGAACAGGTACTACATACACTTGTGATAAGAGTTCCCATACTGCCCTGCCCTCAACACTTACCTGGAGGGATTATATTTATGGATCAGGCTGTTTGTCAACCTGGATTTTCAAATCTAATTGGTTAGAAAAGTTTCTAGGAATTGTGAAAAACTGGACAGCAGTAGCTTAGTCTAAAAAGTGTTATTTGTTTGAAAACTATGTGCTGTTTCACCATTGTGATAAGAGCACCGCTCTTAGCTCTGGATGTAGCCATGAAATAACAGTGGTATGATATCCACCTGAATGCATCACAAAGGCAGAGCTACCCCTGAGATAAAGGCTTTAGGAAGAACCTTACTTTTATGTAGGAAGTACTGCTGGCTCTACAGATGCTTACATTTCTTTTATAACTTGGGCTGCAGGTATGGCACTAGTTGGCAAGGAAGAGATAGCAGGGGATCAGCCTTGCAAGACATCATGCTGAGTACTGATGGCTAGCCTCCTTTACTGTGCTAGAATATGAGAGAAACTTGGGATGGAAACAAGGTGCCAAAAGATTAGGGTAGAAGGAAGTAGGATGTCCTGGTTCTCGCTCTGTTCTGATGCAGAGATGCAGAATAACAGCAGCAAAGAAACCTATAGCCTTGCAATTTGACATCAGTTCTTTATTCTAAATTTAAATCCACCCCATGCGGTCCTTTTTCTTAAGACCCAACAAAGCTCTGCCAACCTTTGTCTGTCACCTTGGCATGTAGGTTTAATTCTATAAGTTTTCCCTCCCTTTTGATAGTAGTTGAGAGAAGGATTTCTTTGGTTGGCCCTTTTTTGCATATTCCTTCAGCTTCAGTGGCAGACATTTTGGCTTCATTCTCTTGAACTGTCTAAAGAATCTCAGCACTTGAATGATTTAAGTTTAAAATTTAACATAGTGTGTTTAGACTAACATTTTATCTAAACAGCAATGTAATTAGAGATGTCTTTTAAACTACACACTTTATGAGGAGCTAAAAGACCATTTAAGTGCCAATGACTATATCTTTCATAGTTTATCTACCTTTACAGCCCTGTCAACTGTCTTAAATTTGTGTCTCAGTCAGACATAAGTCTATCCCTGTATTTTGTTTTAACCAGCTGGGAAAGGTGGAAAAAGAAAGATTTGGTTTTGCCAAGTGTTTCCTGTACTTTTTTCATAGAGCTGTTTTGCAGCAGTATTTAAATTATTACTTTAATTTAAAAATTGTGGTTTATAAAGAGACCTATTGGGTACATAAGACTTCTACTGAATGATGCAAAGAAAAAAGATAATGTAGGAGACAGTGTTTTACCACATCTGGCTTTCTTGATGTAGTTAAAATATAACCAACCATGGAATGGAAGGGACCTCAGGAGGTCATCTAATCCAACCCCCTGCTCAAAGCAGGACCAGCCCCAACTAAATAATCCAAGCCAAGGCATTGTCTACCCAGTTCTTAAAAACCTCTAAGGATGGAGGTAACCACAACCTCTCTGGGTAGTCCGTTCCAGTGTTCTAGTACCCCCTCACCATTTTTATTGTCCTCCACTGGACTCTCCAATTTGTCCACATCTTTTCTGTAGTGGAGGGCCCAAAACTGGACAAAGTATTTCAGATGTGGCCTCACCAGTGCCAAATAGATACCCACTTCCCTTGGTCTGCTGGCAGTGTTCCTATTCATGCAGCCCAGTAGACTGTTACACTTCTTCGCAACGAGGGCACACTTATTGGCTCATATTCAGCTTACTGTCCACCGAACCCCCCAGGTCCTTTTTTGCAGAGCTGCTACATAGCCAGTCTGTCCCTGGGCCTGTACTGGTGCATGGGATTGCTCTGTCCTATGTGCAAGATATCTGATATGTCCAGTATCTAGGCTGTAGTCTTGTTGGTCTAAAGGCAAAAGGCATAAAAACTTGTGGAAGAGGTGATACAAATTTTCATTTCTACCCAAGAGAACTCTTACAATCTCTGCTCTTTCCTTTACCTGATGAAACTAATAATAGATAGCTGACATGATGCTGGTACATTGTATCAGACTTGGTTCAGCCAGAGAATTAAATCATCTCTTTTAATTACCTCCTTTTACTAAATGCATGTAAGGGGTTGGTGTTAAGGAAGCTCTAATAATAAGTTTAACAATCACTTGATGAAAGTGCTTGGTACTAGGTTAAGAATCTTGAAATAATCCAAATTTGATAACCTTCTGGACACACAGTAAAAGTTATTTTTTAATTAGGGTTTTTAGAAAGTGCAGTTATGTTCCTGAATGATGAAGGAAGGATTGAAAAGGAGTTTTTTTAGGTAGCTGAGTTCTTGTCTGATTTTTGTTTAACACTGCTGTGGGTGTATTCTTATAGTTCTTAAAGGCACCTAAAGCCGTGTGCAGTTGTATTTACTGTGTAAATTTAAGTACTAACTTCTTGCAAGCTGAAGTGAAGCCCTCTACCACAACAGAGGAGAGGAGAGATTGAAATCAGGAACATCTTTCCTCCTATATGAAAGATGACCACTTACATTGGATTTGGCAGCTTGAATGTAAGTGAGCCACTGGATAGTTTCAAAACTATTTTAGTATAATCTGAAATACTAATCAACCAATCAAAGCATGCATTTACATTTTGGCTCATAGTTTATGATTGGTGTCAGCAATCACAACATGCATTGTTTCTCATCTTCTAGGTATGTTTGCTGTGTAATTTCTTTTCCAGATGAAAAATCAAATTTCTGTCCAAGATTACCTGCAACTAATTTGAATAACGTTCATACCCACTGAGCGCATCTACGCATGCAGTTAGCACAGAGCAATAAAGTCCAGCGCCTGTTGTGCTGAAGTTTATTGCACCCAAGCCCCACACTTGAACATTTGCCTAGGACCGCAGTACATTGAGCTGGGTTGGAGCAATCCTAAATAGCAGGAGTTTGGGGGATCAGCCTGCCAGCCTGGGGCTGCTCCAACCCAGCTCAGTGTGCTTTGGAGGGGCTAGCTGGGGCACAAGGGTGCTCCAGTGCAGAGCTAGCTGGCTGGCAGCCACTACACTGAAGCACCCTTCTGCCCCAGCCAGCCCTGTTGGTGGGTGTCTATACATGTGTTGCTGTGCACTAAAGAACTCTGCTGTAGGATAGTACTTGTATTTACAAGTACTGACCTGCTGCAGAGTTGATTAGTTTCCTGCAGCCTAATAGGGCCACACATAGGTCTTTTTTACACCTATAACCACCGCAGCGCCGGGCACTTTGAAAAGCAAC